TTACGAGGGGTAGAATTGGGGTGTTATATACCCTACACAAGGACGACAAGGGGAAGTGCCTTAACAAATCATGTGTTGTTTCTCTTTCCCTGTCCTTTTATTTTCCTTTGTCATAATTTGTGTGATATCGATTGTTCAATTCATTTTACCGTGATTGTAGTGAGTCAAACTTAGTTTGCAATAATCATAGAAATCCCTTTGATTGTTATCAAGGAAAATTCATCACTACAATGTTGTGTTTTTGCACACCAAGTGTTTGATAAATTGACGAACAGACAAATTAGTGACATTGTCAAGTTTTATCTTAAATAATTCATTGGAAGTAGTAAGTACTCATTGATATTGTTTAAGTGATTGATTAGTAAGTAATCGTATTGATTCATTTCTCATCATAAGAACTCCATTCAATTTCACATATTCGATCTTTTCAATAACAAATCGTTTAGACGATTTTGATTTAGGGAGCTTTTGCACCGTTTTAAAAGTGCAATTTTTTTAAAATAAAGGATCTATTCAACCCCCTTCTAGATATGTCTCATCGTCTAACAACAATATTGACCTCATCTTTCCCAATAGCGATATGTAAAGAACTACAGAACCGCTATTGTGCCGCTATTCCACCGCTACGCCTCCACAAATCATGGTCGCTATTTCCGCTATCGCAGATAGCGATTAGCAGCCCAAAAGCATCGCGACGAGGTCCTCTACCGCTACGTTGTACTACTATAACGCCGCTATAGTGCGTTATTGACAACCTAGCATTTTACTTTATTATATGGTAGATGACGTGAGAGTACCGGAAGGACTCTATAAAATTAGAACTATATTATATTTACACTTTTTTTCTTATACATATATGTTACTAGTAAGATACCCGTGCGTCCACACGGGTAAATGTTATTGTTATAATATGATATTTTTACTATTAGTCATTTATATGAATATAATATATTGTAGTAAATCTCAATGTAAAGTATTTTTAAAATAAATAAAAATTGTATTAGAAATTATGTAATAGAAAACTTGTTTGAACATTGACATGATTTACTCAAGCAACTAATATATGAACAAAATCTGTAGGAAGTACCTACTAAGAACATGTAAATTTTAAATTACAAACTATTAAAAATAGTTTGTGTAAACTGAGGACAAAATTTAACTAAAGTGAGGCTTGATAAACTTAACCATATAAATAGTTAAATAAAATTACTTAGAATAGGATGACTCTTGGTGCATAGCAAGCTGAAAAAAATAGCGTTCAAATTATGTACAAACATTCATATAAACACTCACTCTTAACTAGATTAAAAGTGTATTTGATAGAGTAGAAATAAAAAATAAAATAAAAAAGAGAAATAGGTGAAAGAGAAATAGAAAAGAGATTGATAATTTTTTTTATTTGGAAAGACGAGAAATAAGAAAAAAATTAAAAATTGATGGATTCCACAAATTTTGTATTTCTCTTTAATTATGAAGAGAAAGTTAGAAAAAACAAATTAGTAGATAGAAATGACTATTTTTTTAATAAACTATAAATATATATTTTTTAAAATATTATTTATCCTAAGGACGTTATTATACTTTTAAAATTATGTAATATTTTTCTTTTATCTATTTCTTCTCTCTTTCTTTTGAACTAAATAATATCTCAAATTTTCTTTATTTCTCATCTTTTTCTCTCTTTTTATGCTTTCTTTTATCTATTTCTCTTTTCACAACATCTCTTCTAAGCCCAACACACCCTAAAGATAAAACTTTTTTTTTTTAATGAAAGGCCGCTACTGCTAACTCAGTTATTTTTACATTTACTTTAATGATATGATGTTCTAACTTCAGAGCTCTTGAACTCTTATCATTACAGTAACTAACAAAATCTTCATCAATACCGGTATGTCTTGAACATGTTGAAAATGTCATTTCTAAAAAGTTCAAAACAAAATCAATACCAGATAAACAAATTTGCATTTAACAATGAATAAAACAAAGGTTTCAATTAAGTATAAAATATTTTGTTCATTTCATCAAGTGAATCTTTTTTTCAAACTTGTCTGACTCACTCTTGATCCTGTACATGGTACGTATAATGAAAATGAGAAATTTGTGCACAAAAATTAATACACGAGAAATAATACTAGATCTTGTACATGGTACGTATAAAATTACGGTGTTGGTGTAAATTTATGATTTATGATTTCTCATACAGTTATTTTAGTTCACACATTAAATTAAAACTACATATTATTACCAAATTATTTGGTAATAATCGTATAAAATATATAATGCCTAGCAACTATCAAGGACCCACACCATACACATAAAGAAAAGGACCATACACGATGAACGTGATCCCCTGCTTTAAATCTATCTATGGCTTTATCTTCAACCATATCATTGCACTGAGACAAAACATCAAACAGTTGGAAGATGGCGATGGAGGGTACTATCCAGTGCACCGCAAACTACGTTCCTCTCACTCCAATCAGCTTCTTGGAGCGCTCCGCCGTTGTTTACCATAACAACCTCTCAATCGCCTACGGCGATGTCACCTACACATGGTCTCAGACTCATCAACGATGCATCAAACTCGCTTCTTCCATTTCTCAATTCGGCGTTTCTCCCCGTGACGTCGTTCGTTCCTTATATCCCCTTTTTCATCAACACTAGTCAATGATTAATTTGTACTGAATTGGAATTGAAATTCTCTATAGTTTAATTGTCCTTTAATTCTAGTGATCTTGATAACGAATTTGAACTTTTGTTATTATACTAGGTTGTGTTTATGATTTTGGTCTGAAATCCCTTTGTTGATTGATGATTTGTATTTGTTTGTTTTTGTGTAGGTTGCTGTGTTGGCCCCTAATATTCCAGCCATGTATGAATTGCATTTTGGTGTTCCAATGTCAGGGGCTATTCTATGTACACTGAATACTCGTCACGATTCATCGATGGTTTCGGTACTGTTAAAGCATTCTGATGCCAAAGTCCTTTTTGTTGATCATGAATTACTTCATATTGCTAAGGGAGCACTTGAAATTCTGTCAAAATCAACCTCCAAGCTTCCGATTTTGGTCTTAATTTTGGAGTGTGAGGCTCATCCATCACCTCATAACAACAGTTCTGTCTCTCCTGGAATATTGATCTATGAGAATCTTATAGCTGAAGGGAAACTTGAATTTGAAGTGAAAAGACCAAAAGATGAATGGGATCCAATTTCATTGAATTACACTTCTGGAACCACATCAAGTCCTAAAGGTGTAGTATATAGCCATAGAGGTGCCTATCTTAATGCTTTATCTACGATTCTTCTCAACGATATGACGTCTATGCCGGTGTATTTATGGTGTGTTCCTATGTTTCATTGTAATGGATGGTGTTTACCTTGGAGTATTGCTGCTCAAGGTGGCACCAATGTCTGCCAAAGAAATGTAACTGGGAAAGGGATATTTGACAATGTTTTTAAGCACAAAGTAACCCACATGGCGGGTGCGCCAACAGTTCTCAACATGATTGTAAATTCACCACTTGAAATCAGGAAACCACTTCCGGGGAAGGTGGCAGTGATGACGGGCGGTGCTCCACCGCCACCAGCCGTGTTTTTTAGGATGGAAGAGATGGGATTTGATTTAATTCATTCATATGGTTTGACAGAAACTTATGGTCCTGCGTCAATTTGCACGTGGAAAGCAGAATGGGGTAGCCTGTCTCGAGACGCGCAGGCCAAAATGAAGGCGCGTCAAGGAGTACAACATGTTGGACTGGAAGGGCTTGACATAAAAGATCCTGTCACAATGAAGAGTGTACCTGCTGATGCAAAAACCATCGGTGAGGTGATGTTTAGGGGAAACACCGTGATGAATGGATATTTAAAGGATTTGAAAGCAACGCAAGAGGCGTTTAAAGGTGGATGGTTTAGGTCCGGTGATTTGGGAGTGAAGCATTCTGACGGTTACATAGAACTTAAGGATCGGTCGAAGGATATTATCATTTCTGGGGGAGAAAACATTAGCACAATTGAACTGGAAGGTGTGATTTATGGTCATCCAGCAGTTGTTGAAGCTGCTGTTGTGGGAAGACCCGATGAATATTGGGGAGAGACCCCGTGTGCATTTGTGAAGCTGAAGGAAGGGTACAATGCAACAGAAGAAGAGATTATTCAATTTTGTCGGGAGCGTTTGCCTCATTTTATGGCTCCTCGAACTGTTGTGTTTTCTGATCTGCCGAAGACATCAACTGGCAAGACACAGAAATTTATATTGAAGGAGAAAGCAAAGGCTATGGGAAGCTTGTCTAAGAAAAATAACAATAGCAGATTGTAATGCATTTCTAAAGAAAATAAAAGTGAATGTAATAATATTCTTCAATGTCATGTTGTGATTTAATATTAGTACTTTTCATACGTAAGATTTGTTTATTTGAATAAAGAAAACCTCAACTGGGAATGACTTGAACCTCTTTCTTTTTTTCTATAAAGCTCAACGTGTGTAACAGAGTAAAACAATAAACAAACTGATATTCTATTTTGAAGACTTGTACTTGGATGGGCAGGTTTCAAAATTGAAATTATTCTGATAACAGATCCAAATCAATGTAAGCTCGTGTTTGATTATGTGGTGACGGAAATTAATTTAGAATGAATTGATTTTTTAAAATTGATTCTATTTAAAAACAAATTGAAGATAAAGTAATTTGTATTTAAATACATTCAAGTACTATTATTGGTGTACGGCCTTAAAAGAATGTTAGTATCTTTTATGACAAAATGACGAGTTAAAAATGAAAATGACAGTGATAGGTTTCTGCAAATGGCAAATTGCCATTGTCAATTACCATGTATATATCTCTCTTTTTTCTTAAACACTCTCAATTCAATTTAGTGGCTTGTATAATCAACAATGAACACAAAAATGGTATTCAAGTATAGAATTGGTCAATTTCTTCGTTTGAACATTCTTTTCCCCCCTTCTTTTTCTTATAGAAACACTAATCAAATACATGAAAAGTTATAGATAATCTTCAATGGAAATGCTCAATCCTTCTTGTTGGTTAGAAACTTGTGTCATTCCTTGATCATCACCACCCAAACCTTCCCACCAACACACATCATCATCAGCAACAACATTGTGCTCATGATGAGATTGATCCAAAGTTGTTGCTCTTGCTGTTGTTGTCGTTTGGTTTGCAATGTTTCTAGCATCAACATCCATAGCAACATCAGAAGCAACCTTTTGAACAGACCTAGGAGACATCAAACCATCTCTCTGTTGGATACAATAAGAAGACAAAATCTGAGGAAAGTTGAGTTTGTCCAACGTAGAAGGTCTCTTCAAACAATAAACAGCGACATCATGTGCAACCGCAGCAGCTTCCGGTGTAGCATAAGTTCCCAACCATAAACGTTCTTGAGTCCCCGGAACACGAATCTCCGACACGTATTTCCCCCATTTTCTTTGTCTAACTCCCTTAAACTTCTTGTTGCTATTACCATCACTTGTTGAATTACTCCAATTCATCTTTAAAGAAAGAAAAACTTTATGTATATTGTTTATAGCTAGTGTGAGTGGTGGCAAAGAAGTGGATTGTGTCAGAAAATGGTGAAGTGGTAAGTGTTTATATAGGTTGAAGATTTTGAGAGTCAAAGGGGTTTTAGGCAAGACATGGTGGAGGATAGGGTGGACCATAAAAATAAAGTCAAAAATTTCAAAGGTCAAAGCAAATATGAAAAGGTTTAAATGGTTTTATTTTATGAGTCATGAAATTAACATTAAATAATGTGTTGCAAGTTGGTTTGAAGGGGTCTATGGAAGAATTGAATTAGTAGAGACCAACTCAACTTAAGTACTTGTTTTTAAATTAATTATTACTTTAAACAAATAATTGATCATATTTAATTTAGTTAATCTGTGTAATTTTAATTAAAAAGTTCGAGTTAATTGTCTAAAATACTCTTTACATGACTAATAAATTGGGACATTTAAATTATTAAAATTTAAATTATATGATGAGTATTTTAAATATATCATTAGAGAGAAATTATTAAAACTTATTTATATTTTATTTCAAAAAGTATGAATTATTGTTTTTTATATCTTTTTTATTATTCTAAATGTCTCATTAATAATATTTCTATTCTTTTAACATAATTGCTATTTTTCATTAATATAATTATATTATTGATTAATTTTAAATTTATTTAGAGTTTAATGTCAGTGTATTATTAGTATAAAGAAGTATTTCATCTGTTTTATATTATAAATAAAAGTTATTTTCTAAATTTATTTAATATTTAATGTATTTAGCTTATATATAAATCAAATATATCAAATATTTAATGAACCTAAAAGATAATTTTTATTTATAATATAAGACAGAGGAAATATTACATATATATTTAATCAAAATATTTTAAAATATTAAATTACAAAAATTTAAAAGTTATAGTCTAATTTAACAGAATATATTGTATTTAAATATTAAATTAAAATATTTTAAATTTTTTTTTACTTTAATTAAACATCTAACTACTAAATAATAAAATTAATCCTCCAACCTAGTCTATTTTAAAGAATATACCAAAATTTTAAAAAAATTACATGACAAATTACAGTAAAGAACATGTTTCAATTTATTAATTTTAATAAAAATTTATAGTGTAAACGAAAAAAGAGGAAGGGGGCATGTATCCAACTTGATTGAAATTTGGTAAACAGAAAAAAAGAAGATTAATGACTAATGAAAATGACTTTTATTTTTGTTGACAAGATTAATGACTAATGACTTGCTTCTATTGAAAACGTGGAGAACTATTTCCATTTCGGTGCTATTATAGGTTTGTAAATCCTACGCGCAGAACAAGGGATGAAATACACACCCGTTGAAATCAAACCGTGGATAACTAATTAGAGAGATCTCAGCCACACATAGCATAAATTGTGGTTCAAATGTGTCGGTGTAGTAAGTATCACGCGTGGACAAAGATTTTTGTAATATGTCACAAATGACGTTATATACAAAAGCTTTTTGTTTTTCAATTCTACAAACTTATCAACTTTCATGTTCAGTCTTTATCAAAAGATTTTGCCAACTTGCAATCTTCAAACTATATTTTACAAAATATATAAAAAATCTCATGTATTTTATAAGAAAAAATTGATAAATCAAAGACTGTCACATATTTTATAAATTCTTGTAATAAAAATTGATAATTTAAAAGTTATAATCGATTATTTCGAAGGTATAATTAACTACAGTTACAGTAGAAAAGTTAAATAAGTTGAAAAAAAATTGATTATATTGTTGGTGTAATCGGTTAAACATTCACAATAATGATTATTATTGTTATAATTTTTTTTAACAACGGTAATTGGTTATAAATACATAATTTTAATTTTTTTTTAATTATTTGACTTGTTGTTTATGTCTCAATCCACTTGTAAATTTTTTATTAACTTGAAAACAGGGTTGACTCAATTAAACTAGAGGTCTCGTTCTACTTTTAAAATAAGTCTAAATTAAAAAAAATAAAATAATAATTATAATAATTAAAAATGAGATATAAAAAATATAATGATATATTAATAAAAAAATTTAATTATAATCATTTTGACTTTGATCAATCTCATTTATTTAATGTTTTGAATTTTTTATTATATGATTTATTGAATTTTTTTATAATATTTATTTATGTTTATTAATTTTTATAATATTTTTTTAATTGTCAAAGCAAACATGAGAAATCTTGGAGAAGGCGTATGCAATGACGGACAAGGTGAAGGTGGTGAGGTTACAAACTCACAAATGTCAATTTGAATTAATTCAAATGGTAAAAAAGAAGACAATCAATAATTACGCGACGTGAATTACTCGGTTGGTGAACCAAGTAAAAGCATGTGTAGAAACAATTACTAAGCACTATGTTGTCACAAAAATCTTGCATTTTTTAACAGCAAGATTAAATAACATAGTCGTAGCGAATGAGGAATCGAAGGATCTTGCGACAATGAGCAAAGGATGGAGGAGAGAAATAATGACAAGGCAAAGTCGGAGATCACCTTGCAAGCTCGTTTCAATGAGAAACACAATGAGTCGAAAGGAAAAAGGACCATGAAGAGTAAAGAGAATTTTAAGAATTTTGGTGGAAAAGAGTCCCAAAGTTCCAAGAGTTTGGCTTGTCAAAAGGGTGAGAGCAATTGCAACAAAAATGATGGTCAAGAAAACTATTCTGGACTGGGCTGGCACTTGCCCCAACGTTCGGAAGGCCCAGTCTAGTGCCTCTGCCTATGGCCCAATAGCTTCAGGCCCAAGTCAGATAGCCACCGGGGATTTCCCATACGTGTCCATTAGAGAGTGTGTCCCTAGTCATCATCAACCACCACCTGCCCTCCGAGAATAACGAATCCATTGTCTCTATATTCTCGAGGCGCTTTACCAGGGAGGAGGCTATGTGCTACACTCTATTACTCACGTAAACCCTGACAGTCCTTGTTATTGGACTCAAATCACCTAGTCTACTATATGGATCTTGGTCCAGCGCTGAGGGCTATAAATATCCTCTCATCAGGTATTCATTCATTCATAAAACCTCACTTTTATTACTTGCACTCTGATTGTCTAGACTATTACTTTGGCATCAGAGTATCTTGCAGGTATCCCCCTTTACTTCACATTCAACCGTTGCTCAACTTGAAGTTTGTGGTTCTTGACGATCTCTTGTGATCAAGTACAATCAGTGGCGCCGTCTGCGGGAAACTGCTTCCCCATCTTTCACTAACTGAAGATCAAAGAAAACTTTCAACTTTTCGATCGTCATGGCCGCTCCAGTCAACAATGAGGATCCTAATATTCACTTCACCAAGTTTGACAACAACAACAACAACAACGAAGACCTTGCCGGGCACGAGCTCGACATCAGGGATGGAAGAACCGCTTCCTCCTCTACTTTGACCCATCCGCTTGATCAACCTCGTCAGAAAAACTATGAACCTAGAGTGTACGAGGAAATCCACGTGCTTGAGAATGCTGACCCTATGAACAGGGCCTTGTTCGCGGCGATCAATAAGACTAACTACATGATCTTCGCACAAGGAGAACGCCTTGGAATGCTAGAAACCCGCAAGTCCATGAGAAGGCACGGGAGGCCCGACTCGCGCACCCCACCTCCTCGACAATGGGAACCATGCTCGCGTTCTCCTCTACGGAGACACCAGCGGGGAGATTCTCGTAGTCCTTCTCCCCTTCGACCGCACAGGAAACCATCAAGAAGCACGACCGCACCCCTCCGTGCAAAGAACGATGATCCCCTGAACAGAAAAGAAATAGGGGTGAGGAAGAGAAGAAGTCTCGACCAAGGAATCCTCTTTGTGACCAAGATCGACACAAAGACTGTTTCTACTACCGGTCCCTCTCCCGTTCCCCAGAAATAAGCAACGAAGATGATCTCCGCGGTCCGTTGTCCCAGGCCATCATGGAGGCCCATATTCCTAAAGGGATGGATAAGCCTCCCCTTCTGAAGGAATACGACGAAATTATTGACCTCGTCGACCACATCGACGAATTCGAGGCCATGCTTCACTATCATAATGTAGGGGGGGCCATTAAATGTAGACTGTTCCCCACGACGCTGAGGAAAACGGACATGGACTTGTATAAGAGCATACCTCCCGGGTCGATCACCTCATGGTGGAATCTGAAGAACTAATTCATCAGCAGCTTCACTGCATCTCGTCGACATCCAAAGACTGAGGCCGCCCTCGAGGCAATCGTCCAGAGGAGCAATGAGATCCCTAGGGAATACATTGATCTATTCAACCACGAGGCCATTCAGGTTCCCTATGCCGATCACATGAAGAGATACTTGCTTGAGATGGGACTCCTCCCGGGTACTGAATTTAGAAAGTTCGTCGATATTGAGCCCCCCCATGTCTTTTGATGCACTCCTCGAAAAAACCCAAGCATACATGGACTACGAGGAAAAAGAGTCTGCCAATAACACCCGCGATTCGAGAAACTGCATACCAACTAATGTCCCGTTGCACAATGATGCAGGCTCTTCTCGATGAACATGGGAAAAGATAAGGGAAGAGAAGCCTCGTGACCCCTGCGAGCACAGAGGACCAGTCACGTGGTTCACCGAATATACCCTGCTGGATGATTCCCGCGAGCGTATCCTTGCAGAGTGATTCAATGTTGAGTTCAAGGACGGAAGGGTCAGGCGTCCTCGACACACCCCTGCAAAGCCCGGGGTCGACAGAACAAAGTACTGTCAGTACCATCAGAGTCGTGGTCACCTGACCAATGATTGCGTCCACTTGAAGGATGTCATCGAGACTCTCATTAAAGTAGGGAGACTCGGGAAGTAGAAGAGGAACGATGCCTCTCGCCGGGACACCCGTGAGGTTAAAGAAATTGGAGAGGATGTCCGACCATATGATGACTCTAGTCCCCTCTAGGTAGCCTCTGCGTCTCAAGGCCCAAGGACTTCTACATCCCCAACAGTCTTGAAGATGACGAGCCT